CTTAAGCACAGCTTGGCGGGTCTAGACTAGAGGTTAAACATATTGCAGTATGTGGTATGAGCGCACCCCCCCCCCCCCCCCACCATCGAAACCTCGACTCTTAAATTTTCTCCCTCCTCTCAGCCTTGAGATGAGCTGTACATCTAGAGAAGAGCTCCGAATTGCCTGTGCTATGGAAGGAGATTGTGACAGTTAACAACTTGGTCCTTCGCGAAGCCTGTCAGGTGGTCCATGCCGGTGGCTGCTTTTTAGCCCTTTCTGTCAAGGGTGAACACTCTCTTTGGCTGAATCTCTCTAGTCTGCCATACAGTGAGAAAAGGCGCATAGCAGGAGCTCCAGTGGAACTAGGCTAGGCTCTTTTTGGCCCTGCTGTTATGCAACAGCGTTGTGATGACAAAAGGAAGGAAAATTAGGCTTTTAAACTGTACCTGCCTAGGAAGGCGACACCACCATCAGCCCCCCTCACGGCCCTGCAATGGGACGGTCATATCAGAATGCTGCCAGACCCAAGGCTTGCAACTTGCCTCCTAGCCAGCAGTCCAACCAGCCATCTAGGCCCTGGGGTAAGATGACTTTTGCTGCGGCCACAGCTAAAAAAAAAAACTAAACTCCACCCCTTCAGAAGGGAAGTGGAAAAGGCCCACCTGATGTTCATTTTCAGGGGCTTCTCTGTCCAGGTTCTCGGGCTGCCAGCCCATTGAACAAAAGTTCCTCCATCCAAGAATAGGAAGTTCTCAACCCGAAAGCACCCTTTCCCTCATTCGGGTGCCCACCTGCGGTTCATTGTAAACAGGCCACATTCTGAAATCTCCTCCCTTCTTGAGAAGGGGGCTGTTCGAGCGGTATTCCAGCATTTATGCAATAAGGGGTTTTGTTCTCGTTATTTCCTAGTTCCAAAAAAGGACAGTTCTTTTCATCTTATCCTGGATCTGAGAGTGTTGAACAAACATTTGAGGAAATACAAATTCAGAATGTTAACACACGGCTTTCTTCTACGTACTATAAAAATGCACTATGTGCTATGAGTTCACAGTTCTTCCTTTTGGGCTTTCTCTCAGCCTGAGGACTTTCTGTCTGTGTGCGGAGGCAGGCTAGACCCCGCTGAGAACAGTGGGTCTCAAGATTCTGAGTTTAGGGTGTTTTCAAACTTGGTCCTTTTCAGGGGTCGCGTGATTTTTGGCCCATATGGAAACACTCCAAACGATCTCAGACCCCTCAGAAGCGAACCAAACCGAGAGCATCTCGGGAGGTGGCATGAGTATGGTTCGCTTTGGGCTAAAGGTACAGTTCGCTAAAAATGTTCATTGTGAACACAAATCAGCCCGGGCTCACTTGATTTTTCCATTCGTGAATTCCGATGTAATTTGGTCATCAAATGTCTCTGTATAAATCAACTGTTTATAATGTCTGCTTCTTCTGGCAGATCTCTACAAATTATTTGCTCACAACGTACACTCGTTTATTTTAATTTCAACCGCTTCCAAGAGAGACGTGGAACCTTGCCAGTTTAAACTTTTTGATATACGCACATCCCAGAGGGGGTAAAATCTATTTTATTCATACAATTAATAATATTCATTTTATTTTATTTTTCAGTTGATTAGTACATTTCTTACTTGAATGCTGCATTTAAGGATACCTGTATTGTACCTGAAAAATTTAAATCAGTTTATTATATTTTCTTTTATTTGTCCAATTAAATTTTTTTTAATCTCAGTAGGCGCGTTTCCATTACCCTTCAAATTGCCCAAATTGAAATTGCGAATTGAAAATACGCCTAATGGAAAGGCGTCAATTTTGCAAAAACACCCATATATCGCAAAAAAGTTTGCACGAGGTGGTTTTTCGGGCAATGCGTAAAAGTTATAATTCACAAAACTGCAATGGAAACGTTTTTTTTCGCATTTACAGGTAACATGGCCTATGTAAAAAGTCATATGATCATTCTTCAAATGTACTATAACCTCCAAGAAGCACTTCACACGTGGACTGGAGAGCGGTCTCCAGTATAAGGGGCTATCCTACCATTAATGATTAGACAATTTACCCTGCACACATCTGCGGTGCAGTGTGGCTCTGATACCGCCACTGAAGCTGATGGTGGCCACTCTAGTCGATGCTTGTGTTTATTCCAGCCGCGCCACGCACGTTTCTGAAGCGGCTCTCTGTGCTGCTTCTGTAAAGATACACACATACGCCTCCTTTGAATAAATATAGCCAAAATCCGTTAAAATCCCACCAAAATCCGTTGCCATGACTTATCGCGAGAGGCAAAAGGTTATGTTTTAGTCACATAACATGGGTGATGGAAACGCTGTCATTTCGCAATACTTTTTTTATCGACATTTATAAAATATCAGCAAAGTTTTAAAACTTTAGTTAACTTTAGTTAAATCTGTAATGAAAACCCCCTAATGTCATCAATTACTTTTCCGTGGGTCCTTAAAGTCTTAAATTTTATTGTATTAATTTTCAGGCCATAAATAGTACAATGGGGACGGAAAGACAATTGCCATATAGCTTAATGTGATGATTAAAATTAAAAAGGCTATGATTTCATTGGATAAATATGAGTGCTGCACGTTTCAAAGTCAGGTGCTGTGCTGCTTTGTACTGCCCTTCCCGGGGAAACCACAATCTATATGCAGTCCTTGAAGCGCCACCTGCTGGCAGTGAATGAATTTGCATTTTTTAAAAGCCCTTCTGCTGTTTTAAAATAATAATTTATACTAAACCAGCCATTAAACCATTAATATAATAATTGATACTTTTGATTTTTGACTCTTTTCTTAAAAATGGTTTAAAGGCTGAAATGTGAAATTTTATTAAAAAATTTTATTTTATATATATATATATATATCTTTTTTTTGTGAAAACCTGTATCTGAACTGTAAATCATGCTTTTTACAGTCATTTTACAGTTTAATATGTTACCATAGACATTGCTCCACCCCACTCATATGGCATTCATTTAATCTGTGCAGGTCTTAAAATCAGTCTCAAATTTGAGCCTAAAAATCCTGCAGAAACCCTGTGTGCTATAGAATAAACACGATTACATAAACAAGGAAAACAATTCAGAATAAATATTACAAAGGTGTACAAAACGTATTATTATTATTAAAAAATATTCCAGTTTTGGAGGCCATAATGTCAGCCATCAAACACTAAACTCAGTGGCGGAGCTAGACTTTTATACATGGGGTGGCCAAGGCTAATTCAGGGGGTCCATAGACCATGACAGAGAATCAGTGTATAACTCCAATCTGGCATAAAAAAGCATGAATAAATCCTACAATTGCTGATTACTTCACATTAGCTATACATTCTTACCGTAACTTGAAAAATGTTAGTGTATCGGAACTTATTTCTCTTATCTGGTTAACCAGCGGTTGGAGAAAAAGATCTAACATTAACTTATATAGTGCATTTTGTAAATATTGTTCAGGAAACCTAAAACTTCAGCTTACTTCAAACAGGACTGCCAACTTTTGAGTTCAGCCTGGAGTGAGAATTATTCAGGAATAATTAACTTGCTTGCAATGTCATTTTTTCTCAATTTTTCTAAACTAAACTATACAGGGAAACCTATTAGTAAGATTAAAAGTAACACTTGATTTGTACTATACAGGGAAGTTCATATCCCTGTTAAAAAAACAATAGAAACCATCACAGAAAATTCTAATGGTTTCCACTATAAATACCTTTACAAACATTACAAACCATCAACTATTAATCATTAAAATGTTTTTTTGTAGTGTGTTTTGGGACATATTCCATTAGAACTGATTGGTTTTAACAAGCCACCTATAGAAGGTGACCAATTACCAGTAGAAACCTAGAGAGTCTATTACAGTTTCCATTAAAACCAATACAAGTCCCATTATAACCAGTAAAACCATTACACATTTTGTAGCCTAATAGTGTCTATTGTTTTTTAAATTTTTATAATAAAGTTTAATCTATATATTTTTAGCAAAATTCTTCTCTCTAGTGTACATTTTTCTCACTAGTTTATAAACACTGAATGGATTTTCTGAGGATATGTGTGACAATGTTTTCCACGGTTGAAACACTCTTTAAAGGGGTCATATGGTGCTATTTTAAAGATCATTATTTTGTGTATTTGGTGTAACAGAATATGTTGACATGCTTTAATGTTCAAAAAACACATTATTTTTCAAATACTGTACATTATTGTAGGTCCTCTATGCCCCGCCTCTCTCAAACACTTCGTTTTCTACAAAGTTCCTCCTTCCGACAAGCGCAGTCTGCTCTGATTGGCCAGCTGACCCAGTGCATTGTGATTGGCCGAACACCGCAAGCACTCGCCAGAAATGTAACGCCCCTTACCATAATCACCAGCTTCATCTTTCAAAATAAATGTAAAGACAGAGCCTGAAAGGGGAACCGAGTCACGTGACAGACACATTAGGCGCGTTTCCATTACAGATTTGCGCAAAACTTTGGCGATATTTTCTGAATGTCGATAAAAAAGTATTGCGAAATGACGGCGTTTCCATTAACCAATGTTATGCGGCTAAAACGTAACCTTTTGCCTCTCGCGATAAGTCATGGCAACAGATTTTGGTGGGATTTTGGCTATATTTATTCAAAGGAGGCTTATGCATGTATCTTTACAGAAGCAGCACAGAAAGCCGCTTCAGAAGCGTGTGTGGCGCGGCTGGAATAAACCATAGACTGTATAAAAACATAAACACAAGCATTGAGTGGCCGCAATCAGCTTCAGTGACCGTATCAGAGCCACACTGCACCGCAGACGTGTGCAGTGTAAATTGTCTAAGTATTAATAGTAGGGAAA